AAAAAAAAAGAAAGAAAAGTACTAAGGTCCCGAAGAAAATTCAGAAAACGCAAGAACAGATAATTCACAAAAACAAATGGCCGATAAATACATGAAAGACAGTTCAACCTTACATGTAATTAAATAAGTACAAATTAAAATAATAATGAGGTACCACTTTTCAGTTATCAAATCAGCACAAAAAATTTTAATTACAACTCAAGGGTAGCAAAAGTATGATAAAATAGAAGTTCCACTGCTTGATATTAACTATATAAATGTTGACTGTATTTATCTTAGAGCAGTGGAATCATCGTGCTCTTACTCTTTATGCTTTTGTACATTATTTAAATGTTCTACAGTTAGCACATTCATTTATATTTTCATTTTTTTCTCTTTTAAATTATAAAAGTAACAATATTTGGTTACTTGGTTTACATGTATGAGGCATCTGGAAATGTGCCAAGACTGGGGCCTAATGCACGATCAAGATAACAGTTAGTTATTTGTATATCCTTACGCACAGTTTTCTATGGATATAAACCCATTTACTATAAAAAAGCAATTGTTTTAAAAAAAGACTAAAAAAAAAAAATCACATCACTGGTACTGTTCACCAATTTGCATTTCTTACTTCACCATATATCTTGCTCTAATAAAGATCTACTTAATTCCTTGTTAATATAAGTATATCCTTATATAAGCATATTTGTATTTTCATTGTTTATAAGAGGGATCATTGCCATCGTTTTGAAATATTTTTAAAATATTGAATTTCTCCTTCCTACTCATTTCTTTCATCAAACGAATTCCAGATACAGCAAATAAATAAATATAAAAATAAAACAAAAGTAAAAAGTGCTGGCAGATGGCACAGTACGTTTACACAATATTTTCAAAATGATAAAAAATGCGATTCGTACAAACCATGAAAATACAAAATGTTACCTATACACCTTTCAGAAATCTGGATTTCAAAGAATTACGTGAATATCCCTTCATTCCAGGAACTTTCCATCTTGTTGTAATTTATGACATGCTCCGTAAGTTTTATAGCTGAGCTGGAACTCAGTAAAAACCTCAGTCGTAACTCCTTCCCCAGGAGAACCGAATGATGTTAAAACACACTCTTGCCTCAGTGCTTTTCAACGAGTCAACTGCCCGAGAATAAAGACAGAAAGGTTTTAACAACATCCGTCACCCTCCCTGCATCAAGGAAGGAAGGGTAGGTGGCTTAATCAACGGGTGAGCTTTCAAAGCAAAAATTGTATAATCTCTTATACTCTCGCTGAACTGACCTACCTATCTGACACATCCTGACTCATCTCCTCATTGCTCTCTGAAACCAGAGAATATTTTAATCTCCATTAGGTGGCTGGGAAAATCAGTTCAGGAATTGAGACTTGTAAGGTATCATTAGTGGTCTCCTAATCTATCCTCTGTCCTCAGGCAAAATCTCAGCAAATGATCCAGGAATGACAGTCCATGCAATTTTTACAACACTCAGCAAAGAAAGTTCAAACAGCAGTCTTATTACTATTTACCTTAAAACCTTGTATTTGTCTTAGTACATAAGTCCACAACCACGAAAGCTATGTTCTTAATACTTTTGCACTCCTACCTGCAAAGATTCTTCCACTGAGGCGTCTACCCCCTCATGACATCTCAAAAGCTCCAGAAGAGATTCAGTTTCTGCCTCCCAGATTTCCACTTGTTCAATCAGTTTTTCAACATCTTCAGCCACTTTGAGTTGCCCTGTGAATTCATTTTCTTTTTCATGTCCTTCCCCAGCCTACAACATTCAAAATTACTGCTAAGAAAATGGCAACATCACTTATAAAATACTTTTTTAAGTGTATTTATTTTGAGAGACAGAGAGCACAAATGGGTGAGGGGCCGAGAGAGAGGGAGAGAGAGGATCCCAAGCAGGTTCAGCAGTCAGTGCAGAGCCTCGACATGGGGCTCGAACTCACGAAACTGTGAGATCGTGACTTGAGCTGAAACCAAGAGTCAGACACCCAACTGACGTGAGCCACCCAGGCACCCCTAAAATAATTTTCAATTAGAAAAAGTTAGATCTCTTTTCTTCCTGAAGACTGCTAATGCAACATACTTTAGTAACTTAAAACCTACTTTTTGGATAATGATAATCACACTCTATGATTGCATTTATCACTTTAAAAAGTAAAAAATTTGTTCATGTTTTCTTTTTTTTCTTTCTTTCTTACTTGTTTTTTTTTTTTGTTTTTTTTTTGAGAGAGAGAGAGAGAGCAAGCACGAGCAGGGGAAAGGTGCAGAGGAGGGAGAGAGAGAGAGAAAGAGAGAGAGAATCTTAAGCAGGCTCCATGCTCAGCACAGAGCCCAATGGGGGGTTGATCCCACCACCTGGGATCATGACCTGAGCCCAAATTGAGAGTTGGATGCTTAAATGACTGAGCCACCCAGATGCCCTTCACATTATGTTTTCTTAATGAGGGTATCATTCCTATCATTTAGTTATTATCATCTTCATTTTATAGATAAGAAGATTAAAGCTTAGAAAATTAGGGTAGTAACTCCACAGATACATTTCTAAAACTCACGTACAATTTTAGTAAATACAACTATGAGTGACAGTAGTCATGAAACATCACCAAGAAGAGACTCAGAATCCAATTTCAACAAAATTAAGCCTTTTCCCATTGATAACCTCTCAATATCCTATAGGTTATGCTATAGCTCTGCATGACAGGTGCATCCTTAAAGCTGTTGTTAATCAGATATCTTAAATGTACTAGAGAAATATAGTGTTCCACATCCTTCTTCTCTATAAACGTATTGCACAACTTCAGATCTTTCAAGACTTTGATCAGGTCTCCTTATGGTGCCAAACACTAGCACTCCATCCCAGCAACTGGCCAAAGTCAGTCCAAACTTAATTTAAGTGAAATTGGATATGTTATTATTTGGAAGGAGGCACATTTCCAAAATCACTGGTATTATCTTACATGTGTATAAACTCTTTGTTCCTTTTCCATAGTCTTCCCTATAATCTAAAATCGTCCTCTAGGGGTGCCTGGGTGGCGCAGTCGGTTAAGCGTCCGACTTCAGCCAGGTCACGATCTCGCGGTCCGTGAGTTCGAGCCCCGCGTCGGGCTCTGGGCTGATGGCTCAGAGCCTGGAGCCTGTTTCCGATTCTGTGTCTCCCTCTCTCTCTGCCCCTCCCCTGTTCATGCTCTGTCTCTCTCTGTCCCAAAAATAAATAAAAAAACGTTGAAAAAAAAAATAAAAATAAAATCGTCCTCTAAACTAAACAACAAAGCAAGAAATAAAGATTATACTGTCCCCTACTGTACAGAAAGGAAGTAAGACATGGGCCAGGGGCTAGACCAAAGCTAGACAATCCCTGAGCAAGAGGCAGAAGTCATCTGAAGAAAATATCAACTCAGTGTCCACAGCTCAGAAGTCATGACGGCTTCTGCACGTCTGCGGAATTCCTGAGTGAGGGAGAGACACAGACTTGAATGCTGAAGCCTCCTTCATGAGGGATCCTAGTGGAACATTCTAGTGGAAAATGACCACATTTTAAGTGTTATCCGGGGTGCCTGGGTGGCTCAGTCGGTTAAGTGTCCGACTTCAGCTCAGGTCATGATCTCGCGGTCCGTGAGTTCGAGCCCCACGTCAGGCTCTGTGCTGACAGCTCGGAGCCTGGAGCCTGTTTCAGATTCTGTGTCTCCCTCTCTCTCTGACCCTCCCCCATTCATACTCTGTCTCTCCCGGTCTCAAAAATAAATAAACGTTAAAAAAATTTTTTTTTAAGTGTTATCCAATAATCACATTTACCACTGTTTCAACAATATAGGTTTAACAAAAGAAAAATAGCCACGGTATAGCTATATACAAGTGAAATACATAAAGTATGACTATTTTACCTTTACATGCTGATTATGACTTTCAGGAAGTTCTATTGACATATCCATTGAAAAATCAACAGTTGGTTTTTCTTCTTCATGTAGCTGAGTATTTTCATAATTGTCAAAAATGGGCTGATCCTGTTTTTTTCTAAGTGGCAGTTTCATTTCCTATAAAAATTGTCATAAAATTTACAGTCCATTTTAAAAAGTTACTTATTGACTTCTTTTGAGAGATAGAGAGTGAGGGGAGGGGGGAAGGGGCAGAAAGAGAGGGAGAGAATTCCAAGCAGGCTCCTCACTGTCAGCACAAGGCATTATGCAGGCCTTGAGCTCACGAGCCGTGAGATCGTGACCTGAGCCAAAATCAAGAGTCAGTTGCTCAACCAACTGAGCCACCCAGGTACCCTGAAGCCCATATTTTTATGTGAAGATACATTGTTACTAACAATAACTGGACATAATATATTCAACATATTTGGGGGATTTATCACATAATAACAATGTTATAAAGTAGGAGCATTTCCCCAAAAAACAAAAAACCCCCCTCAGTCTAAAATTATTAAAAATAAGAAATAGAATAATTTAAGGTCAAAAATTATTTATTAAAGGTCTGCTTTTATAAGGCGCCATGCTAAATAAAAAGCCATATAAAGTTCCGTGTATGTTCTTAAGGAGGTTGAAATCTGTATGCAAAAATGCTTACGTTGTTCTATAATGGTAAATGAATTTCAGCTACAAAACTGTATTATTACATGTCCACACAAAATCTTGTCCATAAGGGATGACTGACTTAGTCAGTTAAGCGTCCGACTCTTGATTTCAGCTTGGGTATGATTTTCATGATTCGTGAGTTGGAGCTCCGTGTGGGGCTCTGCACTGACAGTGTGGAGCCTGCTTGGGATTCTCTCTCCTTCTCTCTCTGCCCCTCCCCTGCTTGCTTTCTATTTCTCTCTCTTTCTCTCTCAAAATAAATAAACATTTAAAAAAAAAAAACAAAAAACTTGGACATAAATGTTCACAGCAACACTATTCATAATAGTCAAAAGGGTGGAAAGAAGCCAATGTGCATAAACTGATCAATCAATAAATGAAATGCTGGGTATCCATACAATAGACTATTATTTTCCATAAGAAGTAAATGAAGTACTGACACGTTACAACACAGACGAACCTTGAAAACATTATGCTAAGTTTAAAAGGCGAGAAACAAAAGACCAGATACTATTTGATTCCATCTGTGTGAAATATCCAGAACAGGCAAATCTACAGAGACATAAAAGTAGATCAGTGGCCACTGGGGAGGCTGGGAGAGAGTAGAGAGTGACTGCTAATGGAGTCAGAGTTTCTTTAGGAGATGACAAAAATGTTCTAGAATTTATGATGGTGGTGGCTGCACGACTCTGGATATACTAAATATACTAAGTTATACACTTTCAATGAGTGAATTGTATGGTATGGGAATTATATCTCAATGAAGCGGTTACCAAAAACAAAAACAAAAACACTTACAAGTTGAGTTTTTGTAATAAATTTTCTCCATCTTTTATTCAGCCTTCTCAGTTCTTTAGAAATAGATGATCCAACTTCATCATTACTGACTTGAATTAGGAAATTTCCCACTTCATTTAAAGTAGTATGTTCTACACTCCACTGGGATATTGTCTCAAAGGGAATCTACACAACATAGAAGCAACACATTTTAATGACACAACACTTGTCTTTCTGTTATGCGTAATAGATCTTTACCAAGTGATTGTAAGCAAAAGTGAGTATGAGGTTCTTGCAGACACTCTGACCCTCCCCTCAGAGGATTCCCCATCCCTGCTGGACTAGCTCTTCATCCCTAATCACTAACTGCCAGGCACCAGCTGTCATTGCTCTTGGTGCTGAACTTTAAGGAAGCAGCTGATGTTCCGCCTTTCTAAGTGGCTAATGAGCTTAGAGCAAAGGCTCTCAAACATTTATCGGTTCATGGTGCCCTTAATGTTTCGGTAACTTTTTTCATAAATTCCCTATGTCAGGAGATTCATCTAACGGTTCTCATTTTCAAGTAGTCGGGTCCAAACCACTTGGTAGTTATTTGCTGTATGGTGTCCCACAGGCTGATGTTGCTGTGTCCCTCAAAATTTAAATTATCTTTAAAGTCCTCTGGAAGCTCAGGGCACCTCAGCACAGAGTTTGGGAAGTGCAAGGCTTATAGTGTTTTTTTTTTTCTCATTTATGTGAATCTTAATAAAATATCTTTAATGGATGAAGCCAGCGAGTATTATGATAAGCAAAATAACTCAGAGGAAGACAAATACCATATGATTTCACTCATATGTGGAATGTAAGAAACAGAACAGACGAGCAAAGGGGGGAAAAAAGGAAAGAGAGAGGCAAACAAGAAACAGACTATTAACCAGAGAACAAACTGATGATTACCAGAGGGGAGGTGGGTGGGGGATGGGTAAAATAGATGATGGGGATTCAGAAGTGCCCTTGTGATGAGCACTGGATGTTGCATGAAAAGTGTTGAATCACTTTATTGTACATCTGACACTACTATTATACTGTAGGTTAACTACTAGAATTAAAATCAGAATTTAAAAAAAGGTTTTTAAACACAGAAGAATCGTTGAAAGCCAAAGATTTTAATTTTTATCACTATAGGTGACAGGGAGAATGACTCACCAACCCCTCAAATATTCTTTACGTGCTCCTACACTTATCACAAATTTTACTGTCATATAAACAGCCCATTTTCAGCTGAGGAACTTTAGTGTCTATTTGGAAAATGTTTCATCTGAGACTTTTCATCAAAATTATTTTCAAGCAGATAACCATTTGCAACAGAGGAAAAGAAATGAAAGAAAGAAAAACTATCCCAGAGAAGAATCATAAAACAGATTATGACATGACTAGCAAGTGAAAACACTGATGAATTACGTTGAAATTTCTTCCACACCTCTCCACATAAGTCTAAGGTATTCTGCATTTCCTTCCTCTGGAAATACAGGAAGATTTTAGAGCTGAAAGGTATTCACCCAAATGGAAAAATAAAACTTTTTAAAATATCAAGTTATTTTAAATGTGTCTATAAGCTATTGAATATTCCAAGCCTTTTCTTTTCCTTCCAAAGAACTTAAGCAATATATCGTTCAAAAGCTACTGTGTGTGTGTGTGTGTGTGTGTGTGTGTGTGTGTGTGTGTGTGTAAAACCTACAATGAGGAGAAAACTTCCTTTTGGCAATTGTATTAGAAAGAAACTAAACTCTTTCCAATACTTTGAGGAATATTTCCAAGAGTCATGTTCACTCTTCCCTGGCCTCTCATTTTTGGATTGAAAACGAGGATCTCCAAACAAAACGAAAAAAAAAAAGAAAAGAAAATTGAGGAGGTAACATTAGACTGAAAATACCTCTTTAATCTGTTCCTTCTTTGTCTCCTCAAAACAAGACTTTAGTAAGCGAAGTTTTTCCAGATAAGTAGCCCAACATGTCAAAACTTTCTGAAGAGTGGACTTGACATTATATACATTTTTTCTATACATACAAATATCATATTCCACTGCCATATATTGTTTGCTAATATCCTGATATTCTCCATCTATAATGTTAACAAAACAAGAAAGTAATCTTAGAAAACAGTTTTTTATTAATAAAATAATACCAAGAAAAATATTTGCATATTAATTGTCAATGGTCAAGTAAATATGTACTGTGATAATATTAAAAGTGAACGCAAGAATTTTCCAAAGAAAACACATGTTAAACCAATTCCTAAAACGTTAAGGTATAAAGAAAGTGAAACAGATAAAATGCTATTTTTTTTAACGTTTATTTATTTTTGAGACAGAAAGAGAGAGGACAAGCAGAGGAGGGGCAGAGAGAGACAGGGAGACACAGAATCCAAAGCGGGCTCCAGGCTCTGAGCCATCAGCACAGAGCCCGACACAGAGCTCAAACCCACAACCTGCAAGATCATAACCTGAGCCGAAGTCAGACACACAACCGACTGAGCCACCCAGGTACCCGCGTGCTATTTTTAAGTGATCATTTCATCAAAAAGTAACTGTATAGCTTTACCTAAATTCTTATGTATTTCTTCACACTTTTGCAAGGAAGTTTCAAGTTGAGCTAGGAACTCTTTTTCTTCAATAAATTTCTGGGGGGGGAAAGGAAAAAAATATAGTGACAGCTTTTTACCATTAAAAATGTGTCAAGAAATCCAGAGAGAAACATAAATATTGATGAAGCACTCGGGCCCCAAAATTTCCTTAAGGCTTTACTACTATATATTTGGGTAGAAAAGAAGAGTAGTTGATGAAGAAAGTCGGTTAAGATCTAGGAAACAGAAGTATGAACACTATGTAGGTACGAGACCTAACAAAGTGCATCATTGCCGTGATATGGTTCCACAACGGTTTTTCTCCTGTGGGAAAAGGTAAGTTACATATACCATTTTCAAAAGCTCCTACTTCACATATTTATTAATATTGCTAAATTTATGCCAGTTTCTCTTTTTTCACAACTTTTATTAATATTGAATAATTTTTGTTAGATATATGAGAGTATGTTGTCAATAGATAACATCCATCCCACAAAAACATCTGAGTAACTACCATTAGTCAAATTATGATGTGTCCTAAGCAAGCAAATTCTGCTGTTGAAAAATACAGTTAATTAAAAGCTCGTATTTACTGTACACTTATTAAATTCCAATGGTATGATTACTTAAATGGAAAAATGAAAAATCAAAGTAGGAAATACATTCAAAACCTAGTCAAATTGAGAATGATGTCTCCTATTCAGGAATGTACGGTGTTTAAATCATAAATTATTAAATAAATCTGTCTTGATTGTGTTGTTCAATTTTTGCACTGAAATTTACAATCTTGGATTTTTCTTTTTTGCCACTCATTCCAAAAAAAGGGAAACAGAAAGAATGATATTAATTCCTAACTGTAGAAATGACATTTCTAGGATGCTTTTAATTTACAAAAGAACATATTTATATTTAAATCATTTGCAACATTTTTTCCCATTAATTTCAAGAGCCAACCCCTTTCTCCAAAAATAAGCCCCAAGACAAAATGTACTGTCTTTCCCACTCTTACAACTCGAAAGGCTAAGATTAAAATGTTCTAAAAAAAAAATTACTTTTTGAATGAAACCATGAATCTGAGTGGGAAAAATTCTTAAACAAGACATCCAGTAAGTGAATGCTGAAATTTTTAATAACCTGAAACTTTTTGTAACTATTATGTTAATTAGCCTGGTTAACAGAGTCTTCCCTGTTGTGGTAAATAATGTGGTTTTCTCTTTCTTACTCCTCCCAATGTCTGTTATTTGGCTACCTAAAATTCTGTTCTCTAGGTAATTTTAAGCTAATGAAAACTACCAAGAAAACTCATCTCAAAACCTGGAAAGGTAAAGGGAAACTGTCTTAAGGAAAAATGGAAACTTAGCACCCAGACATGGAGAACGGTTGTCAAAGACACAAAATAAAACAGCTTACATGCCAGTCTTCCAGCAACAATTCCACAGATTCTTTGTTCCCATATTTGACGTTCCAAACATCCAATTTTGATTTTACTTCATCTAGCAGACCAAGAACTGTGCACTTATAGTAATGAAATTCTAGAAGTGGAATGAATTTTTCCCCCGAAATGTTGTTGATTCTGGAAAATATTTCAGGTTTTAGAATTTAACTTCATATTACTGCCCAAATGCGAGATAATCTGTTTGGCATTTCTAAAAATATTGGGCCTTTGGCTTTTTATTTTAAACACATGGAACTCAGATGTATCCTCAAATTTTTTTTTTTTTCTTTTAAAGTAAGATGTACTACCCCCAACGTGGGGCTTGAACTCACAATCCTGAGATCAGGAGTCACATTGCTCTACCAACTGAACCAGCCAGGTGCCCCCCAATTTTTTTTTTTAACAGAGTAAAACAAATATTGTGGCTAAGAATAAAACAACTATTTCTGAGAGGAAAACATCTAATAGAACATTATCTGAAGAAACTATTCCCCTGTAGAAAAAGAATCCTATACTAAATGTTAATCTCCAAAATATTTTACTAAGTTTGTAAACTTTTGTATACCCGAATGCAACTATAATTTCAACATTTACATATTAAAACGGCTTTCATTATTATTTCAAATAATAAAACCCTCTTATTATCATTGTAATAAGTTGTGCATGAATAACGAGAAAAGAGAGGATGAGGTGGACAACCATCAGTTAAATAATCTCTATATTTACAGTATTTTAGAGTTTACGAAGTACTTTCAGATACCTCCTCCTGTCTCACCCAGTATCCTTGTGAGACACGAACAGGGTGGCTATCATTATTCTGTATTTACAAATGAGGATACATGCTCCAAAAGACAGTAACTTGGCCAAAACTCAGACACGGAGCTCGGTTTCTGACGCCATTTCTAGAACTTACCCCACCACCATATCCTACCATCCAATGAAAAAGGACGTATGTTAGTATGATGTGATGTTACTGTTACAAAAAATGTGAAGGTACTGTGAATCAAGATTTAAAGAATCCTTGTCAGAAGTTATCTAAAAATCTATACTTTTCTGGTCCGTATAGCATCCTGTTAGTGCTCAAACACGAGTGGCATCGGCAGTGGTGAAACGGTAGTGTTACAAACCGTGCTTTCATTTCCTCCAATTTCTTAGGTGATACGAGTGGCAAATTTTTTTCATCTCTATTTTCAAACGCCAGAAGAGTATGCGAACAACAATCAAATTTATCCATCAGATTCTGAAAAGAAATTCAGCATGACATCAACCAGACTTTTTGCCAAACACTGTAACTGGGGGTTCGTTAATCTCATTTGCTCTGCGTATGAGCTGCATCTTTTGTCCAAAAACTCATAAAGCCCTTACTTTTTTTTCACTAAAGCTTCGCCAGTGCGTAATTTCATCATAAATGCTTTACGCTGGAACATTTTACAGAGAGACAGACTGTAGTTTCTTTGGTAAAAGCATTATCCAAACCTTTTGTTTTGGGATTTATTTGTAATTCCTTTGTGAGTTCGCATGCCATAAATGTCGTCTATCAAATTCCTTCATACCATTTTGATGAGAACCCACTCTCTCACATTTTACGCCAGTCTCTTTCCTCCTTTTTGGTCAGGCTTTACGGCTGCTTTAAAACTGACTGGACTCTATTCTTATTGTTTCCACCTTGAACTAGCACAATGCCCATAAGGAAGTGAAAGTATCTTCTGGCTCCCCAAAATCCCCAAGGGAATCATTCCAAACCACCCTCAAAGAGGCACTGTATTTCCTTCCCTTCTCTCTAGGACAACGTCTTCCTCAAGAAGAAGTCCCTAACAAAGCACAGATTTTCCCATGTTTATTTGTTATTTTCCAACCTTGATTAAAGTCATTTTCTCTTGTATTAGAGCCACGGCTTCACAGTAATCCTGGGAAGCTGGCAAATCTTCATCGATAAGCTCCTCTACCTCCTGGAGCCAGGCTTCGATTTGATGCAGCGGCGAGGGCAAGGCATCATTCAGCTCCCTTTTCCACACATTAATCTGAAAAAACAAACATCAGCGCTTCACTAAACATTCTTCTGAAGTTTATTTCTTTGCACGCAGTTTGTTTAATACTTCAAAGTTTCTCTGATCCATTAGTCAGGGAAGTCTTTCTCAAATGGGCAAACTTCTCAGTTCTGTACATTTGCTTACCTGCTGATAGAGAAGATCATTTGTTTAAGAGCAATAGAAGGGGGCACACGAGGGGTGTCTGGGTGGCTCAGCTGGTTAAGCATCTGATTCTTGATTTCCTCTCAGGTCATGATCTCACAGTTCATGGGTTTGAGCCTCGTATCGGGCTGTGTGCTGACAGCCTGCTTGGGGTTTTCTCTCTCTCTCTGTCTCTCTGACCCCCCCCCAAAATATGTAAATACACTTAAAAAATAGATATAAAAGGGAGCACAAGGATAAGAATGAATATTTTGATAAATCCATAATCAGTTATGAGAGGGAAATTAGAACTATTTAAAGCACCCCTCAGGGCGCCTGGGTGGCCTAGTTGGTTAAATACCTGATTCTTTTTTTTTTAAATTTTTTAAATATTTATTTACTTGTTGAGAGACAGAGAGAGCGTGAGTGGGACTGGGGCAGAGAGAGAGAGGGAGATACAGAATCCAAAGCAGGTTCCAGGCTCTGAGCTGTCAGCACAGAGTCCGATGTGGGGCTCGAACCCACCAACCGTGAGATCGTGACCTGAGCCGAAGTTAGATGCCCAACGGACTGAGCCACCCAGGTGCCCAAGCATCCGATTCTTGACTTCGGCTCAGGTCATGATCTCATGGTTCGTGAGTTTGAGCCTCACACAGGGAGAGCTCTGCACTGACAGCACATAGACTGCTTGGGATTCTCTCTCTCCTCTGTGCCCCTCACCCGCTCTCTCTGTCTCGGTCTATCTGCCTGTCTCTCAAAATGAGTAAACGTTTAAAAAAAGCACCCCTTTAAGCAAGGGTAGACTGTTATACAGAAGGACCATCACCTGAAATGTTGTATGGCCTTGTGTTCTCTGACTTTACAACGACACCTCACGCTCAGATTTATAGATTATTTTTCTCACTAGTACTAATCATATATTCACATTACATATCTCTACCGTACCTCCTGAATATCTGTCCCTCACCGAAGCCCCCCCACAATCCAGGAAACCTCTTCCTTCCTCAGCCCTCCCTGCATGCACACAAATGCCAACTGCCTCTTTCCCCAAACACCGACTGCACTCCCAAGGTGTTCGCACTCCCTGGCCCTTCTACCTGGATGCTTTCCCCATTAATTCATTCATTCATTCAGCAAACACTTATAACCTATTGTGCTAAGAGCTGAGCATAGAGATACACAAGGCTTCTGGAATGGAGAGGGGACAGGTAGTGGTTGTACCACAAAGTACTGTGCAATGAGCACTGAGACCCCAATGAGATGTACACACGTGTGAACACTGGAGCATTTTAAATATGTGTGCTCAAAAATTTAAGCAAGAAACAGAATAACACATAACACCGATTTGCACAACTTAATGATACACAAGCACATAAATACGTTATGTATTTGGCAAGAACATATGAAACGAAAAGGCCTAAGGAGACGGGGAAATGAAGGAGGGCATGGGTTTAGAAAGAAATAAACACAAATCGGGGCGCCTGGGTGGCGCAGTCGGTTGAGCGTCCGACTTCAGCCAGGTCACGATCTCGCGGTCCGGGAGTTCGAGCCCCGCGTCGGGCTCTGGGCTGATGGCTCGGAGCCTGGAGCCTGTTTCCGATTCTGTGTCTCCCTCTCTCTCTGCCCCTCCCCCGTTCATGCTCTGTCTCTCTCTGTCCCAAAAATAAATAAACGTTGAAAAAAAATTTTTTTTTAAGAAATAAACACAAATTAAACAAGTAAATAAAAGTAAGAGTAGGGCCTTGCCTAGACTCATATGCCATGAAGGGAAGAGTGAGTTTAACACAACTCTCTACATCTGACGGTCAACCAGATAAAAACAAACAAACAAACAAACAAACAAA